GCGAGGTCCTTCTTCAGTGACTCAAGTCGGGCCAGTTCTTGGGGAAAGTATATTGGTGCCACACTTGGATGGGAGGCATTTCTGTCCAGTTCTTCTTCCAAAGTGTTGTAGATTTCATACAGCGAGAACAGGAGCAGCTGTGGAGAGGGAGGGAGAGAGAGAGAGATTAATATTCATCCTACATGGTGGAAGTAACTGACTCCACACACTATTAACCATCACTATCTTGATCAGGCTACCAAAAAATTAACACCAAATTACTAAAGTCAGATGAATCTAACAGCTAAATTTATATGTAGGTCATTATTATCATTTGGAGAATGACAAGTACTTATGCATTTGGAGGGAAGAAAGCTCAAGTGATGATGAAATGTGAAACATAGAAATATGAATCAATGAATGTGATAGAAGAGACCAAAGCAGAGTGTGTTTGTGGTACGAAGTACATACAGATGGAGATCAGTGTTACCTTATACTGTGGCAGGGTTATCTGCCCCCTCTGGAAGCTCAGCATGAGTTCGGTGTTCTCCGCCCTGACGTGGCTGTCCTTTGTCACGGCCTTGATCTGCTCCGACAAATCGCTGGGGAGAAAAAGAGGGATATTAGTTTAGGAGAAGCTGAAACTAGAGTAGACACCACAGTATTGGATCTTTACAGTAATACAAGCCATATGGTGGTAGAACAAGATATCTAATATGGGGTCTTGGTTGTTTTTGGTCTTTGTTAGTACTTTAATGTCCAGAAAGTAGCGAAACAATGTTTCATTGTACTGAATATATAATGACAATAAGGTTTCATTTGTTCATTCAAAATAAGGGCTAATATACAAGCTTTTTCCAACTAAGCACATGCATGCTGTAAACATGCAAGAGGGAACTGAAAGGGAGGTTATTACCTGCCACTGATCTGAACATCTTCAAGATGGTTTTTGTCCATCTCTGTATACAAAAAAACATTAGGAATGCGAGTCAATATCATGTCAACACAAAACTATTTGAACACACTTCAGTGTAGTCGTATGAGCAAGGATAAAAAAAAAAAAAAAAAAAAGTTTTGCAATGCGAGTCAATATCATGTCAACACAAAACTATTTGAACACACTTCAGTGTAGTCGTATGAGCAAGGATAAAAAAAAAAAAAAAAAAAGTTTTGCATGGATGGCTTGTGTTGGCATTACAAATGTGTCAAACTGCTTTGTGTGACGCCACACAATGCGTGACTTGTGCTGGAGTGTCTGCTGAAGCCAACGCCGTGCTGAGCGTCCAATCAGAAAGTGAGGTTCCCCCTGCGCCGCTTGCCACTGGACGCATCTGCGTTTGCCTTCCTTACCTAGAGCCGTGTTGTTATTTTGAACTCCGTGTCTCCGCCGCACGCCTGCTTCAGGCTCTGCAGCAGTCTGCATCTTCAGGAGGTCATCAAACACCTGTCAAGAAATTATACAGGGGATTCGAGCTGCGCTCACCGACAGGACCCCAGCACAAGCTGCACAGATGCGATGTCTCAGTGCTTTTCACAGCACAGTGAACAAGTGACCTCTATCCATCGCAGTTCCCATTACAATGAAAAGTACACTTGTGTTTTCTGTGGCTGCTTCCCACTTAATGCCTTTCTCTTCCTCTTTTTCTCCTGTTCTCTCTCTTTCTGATACACTGTCAGAAAAAAAAGTACCTACTTTTACCCATCAGGGTACAATTACTTGCCACTGCGGCTGTACCGTCAAGGGTCTGCCAGTTGTACCCTAGCTGCAGGTAAATGTACCCTTTAGTCTAATTCTAGGTACAGAAATTGACTCTGTGGACCATTTTTGTACCATTGGGGGTATATTAATGTTGTTTGTACCTTGGGGAACAAAACTACCAGGATTGCACTGTTTTTTTTCCTGCCAGTGAAACTGCAATTCAAGTCTTGAACTGAAGTAACTTCTGTCCATTAAACATTTGCATCCTCACACTTTGTTGTGCTCTCTGATCTTGCCCATCGCTTTCAGGCCCCCTCCCCAAGCCTCCCCCCTCCCCAAGCCTCCCCCTCACCTCAACGTTGAGCTGGAAAGCTCTGACTGCCTCCTCCAGCAGACCCTTCCTCTCCTCCTCCGTCAGTTCGATGCTGTTCATCCTGCTTCTGTACAGCTGCTTGAAGCGATTTGGGCTGCTCACCCCGGGGAAAGAGAAGAAGGACAGACCATCCCCATTCTTCAGCCCCAGGGACTTCTGGGTAATGCGTCCCAGGACCTGCCCCCCTGACAGGTCTCCAAGGTAACGGGTGTAGGCATGGGCCACTAGATATTCTGGATTTTCTTTGCCCACCTGTGAACAAGAGGGAAAGATTCTAAGTATGAAAACGTGGACAAAACCTTCTGAAATAAGTACTACAACATAAACAAAGTAAATTAAAGTAGAATAGAGGCAGTACCTGTCTCAGCCTCTGTGTGTATCTCTGTGTAGCTGCAGGGACAATGACTCTCTCCCTCCAGTTTTGTCCATAAAAGTGTGCGAGGTCCTTCTTCAGTGACTCAAGTCGGGCCAGTTCTTGGGGAAAGTATATTGGTGCCACACTTGGATGGGAGGCATTTCTGTCCAGTTCCTCTTCCAGAGCGTTGTAGATCTCATACAGCGAGAACAGGAGGAGCTGTGGAGAGAGACAGAGGTTAATATGCATCATACGTGCTAGAAGTAACTAACCCTACATGGAGTGACAGGACATCAATGTGTCTGATCAGCAGTAACCGTGGAAAAATTCTTATTTTCATCACAGTCATATTCGAATTTATGTAAACGTGACATCTGTAAATGGGATGTACATTTGTAACCTTAAAGTTGCAGGTTTGAGTCCCAGGAGTGACCTTGCTATAGTGCCCTTCAATACAGAATTTGACATGAACAGCTACATAAAAACACTTTAAATTTGCATTGGATTGTCAGATAAGTAGCTTAATGTGACTGTGTGAGGTTTACGTGGCATTGCACAGTACTATGTGCTTAGTGAAGCATAATTATTTACTTAAGATATCTGATTATTACCTTATACTGTGGCAGAGCTATTTGCCCCTTCTGGAAGCTCTGCATAAGCTGCGTGTTCTCCGCTCTGACGTGGCTCTCCTTTGTCGCGGTCTTTATTTGCTCTGACAGATCGCTGGGGAGAGGGATAGATAGAGACACATGAACACAAAGGGACACATTGATGGCCAGGTGTCGGGAGAATCAGCGCGGCGCTGCGAGAGACCGGCTACAATATAAACAAAGGCACGCGGATCCGGCAAATTTACAGCGGCGAGAAGCAGAACAAGAACAGAGGACAACTAATGCGCATCCCGTGTGGTGGATAATGCATTTTAACACCGAAGTGCTGTGTTTTTTTTGCTGGAACGCTCGCAAAACCGTTGAAAAAAAGGAAATTAAATCACTGCACATAAATGTAACAAGGAAAAAAAAAGATTATAAAAATAAGATTAACAGCTGTGGAAAAGTTTTGAAAGAAATACCTTTCTGTGCTCTGGACCGTTTCGGTCTGTCTCTTGTCACCACTGTCCATCTCTGTTAATAAGGACGTTTTTGTCAGTGCGTTGAACAATTAAAGTTAACAAAGTTTTAGTAAAATTACAGTATATTTTAATAAAGGTGGCATTCAAAAATACAAATATACCGAAACGTAATCATTACATTTCTAGTAGGCTATTTTTCTTATATCTTCTTACCTGCGGTCAGCTTCTTTGTCTTTTCTGTGTTTATTTGTATAGGTTTCTTTGGCAGGCTCTTCTGAGCTCTTCTCGGCGGCTCTTCTGAACTTGAGTCGACTGTGTTACTCGCTGTTACAGTCTCCTTTTATACACCGTGTAAACTCTCCTCCCCCTCCTTCCCCCTTTGTAATAAAAGGAAGTGAGATTGTTGACTCAACAGTGCCATAATACGCCGCAGAAAGGAAAAAGAAGGCAGGGACCGAGAAAACCGTGACGGCGCATATTTCTGCAGCCAGAGGACGGGGGCAGTGTGATGAAACCGTGACTCGGCAAAAGGACCGGTCACACGAATCACATGGGTGTGTTTTCCCTTTTGTGTGCTGCTATACACAGTAGTTCTATTTCTGTTTGGGTTTAGTGTCTGGTCGTTTTATACTGCGGAATCGGGAAGTTAACATATCAAATTGCTTATAAAGAGAGTTCACACGACTGTTCAAAAGAGCCAGATAAACTGCATAGTTGTCTTTGTTTTCTGAAATAAGTGAATATTAGAAGTTTGGCAATTGTATTTAAAAGTAACTAATGCAAAATGAATATCATTTAACTGTAGAAAGAATGTCTATATTTCACGTTTTGATGTTTTTAAAGAAAGATCCTGTTCTGTCGGCTTCTTTATTGTTTATCTGACATTAGTAGGCTACTTATGGGCTATAAAACACTAATGTGAAAGTTAAATTAAACTGATCACGAGGTGGTTCCACGCTGCAGGTCGTACATAATGAAGCATAAAACAGTTTACAGGCTGATTAAGTGTCCTCAGCGCCGTTTTGTCTGGCGCTGAGATTCACCGAGATTAAAAAAGGTCTGTGACTTTAAATCTCTACCATGACGCAGCATTAAGGGAGGGAGCTTGAAGGCATGGGGAGAGGAAAGGGAAAGAGGAAGGGGGGGTGAAACCGTGACTCGGCAAAAGTTGCCAGAGGCAGGGGAAGGAGGCGGGCCGTCGCGCTCCCACAGAAACAAAGCCGTGTTCGGGCTGGTAGCGGCATTGATCCAACAAGTTTGTCTTTCTCATTTATATTTCACTTTAGCTAAATATTGTATTTGAAAGCTAATATCTAGTCATAAGCCTATTGGATCTACGACTTGCCATTAAGTTAGTTTGCTATTTAAAAAGAGACGTTTTTGTTTATATTTATTTAAGGTAGCTTTATTGTTAAACGTTGATTTAATTTAGAACCAATTGTTACTTTCTGTATCTATCTGCATGGTTTGAAATAGGCCTAGCCTACGTCCTTTTTTAACAAAGAGCTGCTGGATACAGGCCCGTACGATACGGATTTTGCAGTTTAAAAACATGCTACATGTGAAATAAACCACCGTTCACTATTTCCGTGAAACTAAACTGTTAAAGCAACTATATCACACACACACATATATATATATATATATATATAAGCACATGGAAAACTTCATCTCCCTTTTCCTTGCAAAAAAAATGTCTATGCAAGGTTTACAAAGAAAAAACCGCCAGCGGCTATCACAAATAATGTTTTCGTTAAAATGATGTGTTCGGTCACACCTGCTTTTTCTTGCTTAATCGGGTGTGACGCCTGCCCTGTGATCTTGCTCTGATCTCTCAATCTCATTTAAACGGGGCAGTGATTATTGCTTACTGGCGTGGCTGCACGATTCTGGATAAAATATGAGTCGGGATGTTTATATGTTTATATGTTTAAAATACACAAGTAGGCCTAAATGTAACCCCTTTTTTGTAGGAGCACTAACGGGTTGAAAAAAAAATCTACTGTAGCTGTACTGGAAGGGACGTATCAACTGACAATCATTTTGTTCTTGTTTTCGAATCTTTTTCCTTTCACCTTGTCGCACACATTAGATTTCCTTTGAGATCTACCGCTTTTCCTGTGTTCAGTTTGCCTCGTGCTGTAACGCAGAATGAGATCGTATAGTGTGTCTTTTGGGGTTTTGTCGTCGTTGCCAGCATCATGGCATTTCAGGTCCCAACTTTTTTTTTTTTCCACTGTCCATGGCTTTTGTTGGCTAGCTAGTGTTTTTTGGTATTAGATCTTCCCTGGTGGTCTAGTGGTTAGGATTCGGCGCTCTCACCGCCGCGGCCCGGGTTCGATTCCCGGTCAGGGAATAAAAGCTTTTCTCGTGTTTGAGCAATTTCCTTCGGGATTAATAAAGCCTTCTGATAGATGCTGTCTTGTTTGTGGGATGATGGTCCTCATTACCTTCAGTCCCACATCCGGAGTGCAGGATTTGTTCTTAGGTTTGACATGAGTATGTCCCGGATTTGTCTTTCAGCCCCACTACTGGTTTCCTGATTCCTGGTTTTCCAGTCCTCTGCACTGGTCTGTTTTTTTGTGCACCTCATCTGAGAGCCGTCCATGCAGGCGGCAGCCCCAAGTCCAATTTGTTACCCATTTCCTGTGGTGAGCTGTCTTAAGGTCTTGGGGGCCATTTGGTGGAAGACCTGCCATTATGGACGGAGGTTTGGGTGCTCTGTGACAGTGTATGTGAAAGCCAATAAATGTGCTTTTATCCAAATGCTGAGTCCTAGTCATGACAGTTTGACAAACATGGTTATTTATATCAGCTGTTGTCTAGTTTACGCAATATTAAATGTCAAACATGGGTAAAGAGAGTTACTTTTATCTGGTTCTTCCAAGGTAAATTTGCCTTTTTGCTTTTCAGTTCTGAGATACTGATACGGATGTGAAAAAGGGAAATTAAATTTTGGAGTTCTGAAGTTCATGTATATTTGTATGTAAATTGGCAATACACTTAAAGTAGCACAGGTTTTTTTTTTTTTAAAGATATTTACTTATTTATATTTTTCATAGTTCAATAATATGGCCTTATGTTGTTTTAACTTCCATGAGAAAATCGATGTACTGCTGACCTGTACCTAGCTACGTGTGTGTAGATGTATTTTTAGGAAAATTGGAAAATTGTTAGCCGTCTCCTTACAAATGAGATTAAGGCTGAGTCACTTTATTAGAATGATTCACGTGAACCTTAACCGCTTATTTCTGTTGGTCTGGTGGATAACCTCAGAAAAAAAGTGGAAATTGCACTATGACTTTTCTCCTGCAGGGGGAGTGCAAGAGCTTGATGACTACAGGCCAGGGAGGTTGCATGAGGTACATCTTACATGGAGATGAGAGGGGAAATTGAGCATTAGCTAAAAGAGAATAAAATAACAGTAAGCCTTATTGCTGAAGAAACTCGTACTGGACCTTGGAATGAGGTCAGTTCACAGATCTTGGGACAGTTTCAGGTACTTTTAATAAACATGGTGCTAATGTACAACTACTAATTAAATTGATAAATAGCCAGATATACCCCAATGATAAACCACCAAATTATTTATAATAAAACACTGGTGACATGCTGGGGCATACCTAGAAATTGTGTGCTCCCTGTCAAAATTTCACCATGGCCTGCTTACTTCGATTGGTACTTTCAGTCTGAAGATATCGGGCCCTGCATAGATTTTGCTCCGAGCAGGGGATGCTCGACGGTAGTTTTTGGGGCCTCTAAAAAGTACTGGACCTCCATGCCCGCCGACATCCTTGGTTATACGTGTAATTTAGTTAGTGGCGTATCTGTATTCTTCTGTATTGATCTTATTGTCCTCTTGTGGTCAATTACAAAACATGTTGTAGAGTGCTTCTTTTACTGTTAATAACATTTACATTCTTCAATTCAAACTGAAAATTGGTAGTATTAAGAGCTTTTTCTATCTCTCCATTGTAACAATATGCCTAATCATTAAAATGTAGTTGCTGAGTTTCATTCATGTTGATATGTTTTTCCTTTTAATTATCAAATGTATTTTATGGTTATAAATAAGTATGGAAGCCCAGGACGGGAAAGATGTCTTTGCATAAGTCTAACAGAATATGCTTTAGGAAACATCAATTTATTACACATCTTAACATCACTGTACAACAACTTTTTGGTTAAGATTATGACTGGTCCAATGAACAATGCAAACTGCGACTAAGACACAAATTATGAGTGCAGAGTCAAAGCTTGACTTTTCTGTTATAAACGCAGGAATTTTTATTAAAATAACGTGAAATTTAACGAGCAGTGCTGGTGAGGCTGACCGAACCCCTCCCAGAGCATCGCGCTCCCTCCCTCCGTCTCCACGAGCAGCCATTTGTTTACCGATGAATACAAAGATGGCGGCTGCCGGCGCGTAAAGTGGAACGCTGCTAAGGTAGTAGCTTTATTTTATATGAACCTTCGCATCCCTCGTTCCTGGCCGCCGCTGGCCTCGGCGTGGCCCGGAGAAACGCACAGGATGTAAAACGGAGCACTAGGCGCGAAGCCCCGAGTTTGATTTACTCGAGCACCGCGTTGGCCTATTCCGCGCGGCGCCGAGCGGGCTCGAGTGGTCGGTCTTGACCGGGTAGGTGACACTTCCGGTTCGAGGCGGCCGAGTCGGGAAGGACCGACCGGGCGAAAGGGGGTGTGTTTGTGTTCAAACGTAGGCGGGAAAAGATATAAACTCAATTAAATCCGTCACCGCTTTCGTTTATTTATCTTCTTTCGTTTAATCGGGTGACGCTGTAAATCTCGAAACTATAGCTTAACAGGAGTAAAATACGTGCAGCTATGCAGAGAGAGGCTGATCTAGGTCGCATGGCTTAAATGACAGACACGAACCCTACCATCAGCTGGGCGTTTGACAGTTTCGAGCCATTGATTAGTCGGATAACGTCAAAGCGCAAGTTACCGCCTCTTACATGTATTCTACTAACGGCATTTTAATGTCTGTCCCCGAGCTTGTTTGTGTTAATTGCAATTCACGGCGTGTGGTCAGAAATAAGTTTGCAGCCGAGTATCTGAGAATTTCTGAAAGCAAGAATGTTCTGAAATCTATTTGGTGAAATACTGTTTATATTCCTGTAATTTAATTTGTTATGCAAATGGACGGGTATAAGTCTATGGTGTATATGATAGTCGTGTTGGTAATGAAAGAATATTATGGCTTTTTGTATAACTTCGTCGTTACCCAACTTCTAAGCTAATAAGGTCTACTACTGTTTCCTCTCCTGAGTCAGTGAGGTAGAGACTGCCCGGATGCCGCTTTGAATGGGATCATGGCATTTGAGGAGATAAAGAAGAAAGGCTTGATCGGTAAGGGATCTGAGTTCACTGACATGCTTCCTGCCTTCTGGTTTATAAAGGCTTGTAGGCTTCATGCTAAAGGACAGTTATGACATTGGTATGGCTCCGCCCTCCTTTCTTTGCCAGAGGTATCAGGTATGGAGGGGGATGTGGGTCTGGTAGCAGGACGTAGTCAAAGAGAGAAGAGGAGATCTTACAAAGACCTGCTCCGAGAGGAGGAAGAGATCGCCGCTCAGGTGCGCAAGTCTGCCAAGAAACGGCCCAAGGTAAAGGATGTGGGTTTTTCCATTGTTTTTTGCTTGTTTTTTCCATTGTGTCTGTGCTCTCACTACTTCCCATTAGTGATTTTTTTCCCCTTTCCATAATTTTGCCATTGTGGATGTTGTGCTTTACTGCAGCCTTATCACAGCCATGCACTGCTTTACCTGCCTGGACTGATATATTCTAACGTATCTGAGTTAAAAGTTTGAAATACATTTAATGTGTTTCTTGGTTGTATTTTACCATCATTTCTCCTTTCAGGACTCTGAACTGTTTTTACTGGGGGGAGAATCTCACAAGAAGAAGAAAAAGCACTTTGATGAAGACTTCTTTTACAGAGGTGAGGGGCTGCTTTTAGGCTGATATGCAAGGGGGGGGGCATGGCACATCTGGTGATGGGAATTAAATTGACTGAGATTTATTTGGCCCAAGGGTCCCTGGTATATATTTTTGTTTTTCTGCTCCCTGATCTTCTGAAACATCTTCTGCAGACCTCCAAGGATCTGGCCTCCCAGTGCACAAAAAGAAACGCAAGTCCTCCGACGGCTCCCTGCCTCTGTCCTCCTCCTCTCACCCCCCTCACTCCACAGACACTGCCATGGGTCTCCTGCAGGCCATCACCTCCCCGATGGCCACGGGCTCTGAGCCCAACCCGCACCTGCACAAGAAGCCCTCCTACCCCCCATCATCCTCTCATTCCTCCTCCAAGGAGCGGAGGCGCGAGGGAGGGCATGGAACCAGCAAGAGCCACTCTTCTTCCCACTCCCGCTCATTCTCATCGTCGTCATCCTCCTCCAAAAAGCACTCCTCTAAATCGACACTGTATCTAAGCGGGGGTGGTAAGAGCAGCAACAGCAACGCGGGGGGGGGCGAGCCTCTGACCCTCAGGGAGGCGGAGGGCCTGAAGATGAAGCTCATCCTTTCGCCGAAGGAGAAGGGCGAAGGAGGCGCATCTGAGGGATTCCCGTTCCCGCCACACTCTTCCTCATCCTCCTCAGCCTCCTCCAGTGCCAAGAAAGGGAGCTCGAAGAAGGAGAAGGACAGAGATAGGATGCTACTGTCCAAGTCCCCCAAGAAGAGGCAGCAGAGCAGGGATCCCCTTCCTGTGGTGGGGGAGGAAGTGGAGCTGGAAGGTAAGCGTGCTCCTCACTGTCACCCACCTCCCACTCCACCTCCACACAATTACTTTGTATTTATGTATACAAGTTCAAATTCTACTAAACCATATTGGGTTATGAGTGACTGGAAAAAGCTGAATCTCCCCCTTTTCAGACTTATTTTTATATGCAGGCTATTCTTCAAAATCTGTCAACATCGTGTTTTAATGTTCGGACATAGCATTTTTGCTGAATTCAATTTGACCTTGGACAGTGTTTCTTTTTCTAATCTTGGGTATCAGATATTCATTTTCTGTTTGGTCCCACTTTAGGTGAAATGTTCCACCTTTTGTAAATCATGTTTAGTTTTAGACTGTGTGAGTTGGTTCTTTTAGCATCATGTGAATTGTTCTTTTACAATATTAAAGTCATCGAGGTCTGCATTAACCTATCAGGGCACTATGGTGGAGCCCTTGGCTTGATGGGTGGAGAAACCTCTTCTTCAGGCGGTGAATTGGAGGCGGGTGAGCTGGTGATAGATGACTCATATACTCAGCTAACCAAAAAGAAGAAGAAGAGCAAGAAAAGCAAGAAGAAAAAGGAGAAAGAGAGGGATAGGGAGAAGGATAAAAGTGGAAGAGAAAAAAAGCACAATCGAGCGGGCAGTAAAAAAGGTTTGTCAGGTGAGATGCTGAGTGTCGTGTGGACAGGCACGACTCGTTCTGTGTTTTGTTTGCTCAGGTGTTATTGAAGTGTGTACGCAGAATAATAAATCCTGCTCCTGTTTCCTGTACAGGAACGTCTCTCCTCCTGTCTTCTGGGGAGGTTTCCCGGAGCCACGCCCATTCCCATGGGTCAGCCAATCACAGCACGGGAGTCGGACTTTATGCGATGGCTTCTCCGGTCTCCGCTCACCACCACAGTAGTGAATCACAGAGCGAGAAGAAGAAGAAAAAGGAGGATAAAGATAGGGAAAAGATGGAGAGGGAAAAAGAAAAGGTCAGAAATGCGACAGAAAGTTTGGGATTGTATGCGCATCGCCGTCTGCTCTCCATATAAAGGTGTTCTTTTGTTTTGGCAGCCCAAGAAGAAAAACATGACTGCGTACCAGGTGTTCTGTAAGGAGTACAGGGTCAACATCAATGCTGAGCAACCAGGACTAGGTCTGTGCCCCTCATACTGCTTCCTGGCTCCTGTCATGGTGACCATCACCATTGCTCTCTGTAGAACCCCCATAAATTGCATATCAGATAAAACAATGAACCACGCAGAGAACAGAAAGATACCATGTGTTGTTTGGGGAAAAAAGACAACAGATGTATATATGAAATATGCAGGTCTAATTTTGTTTATTTTGTTTGCAGTAATAGAATACAATTTATGGAATTCACAAAAGTTTTTAATACATTTAATGTTCTGATTTATGTAAACACAATTTGTAAAGTGTTTTGTTTATTTTATTGCAGTTTTCGGGGAGTTGAGTAAAAAACTTGCAGAGGTGTGGAAACAATTGCCTGAAAAAGACAAACAGGTTAGTTGTTTTGAGAGATGAAATAAGACAGTTTGCTGTGTTAGCCTGACCACTGCTGGCAAAACTGTCTCTTATTGTGACAGTTTTTCAGCTTCTTGTTTCTTATATTTTAATACGACTACAGTTCAGCCCAGTATATTTCCATCCATCCATCCATTGTCCAACCCGCTTATCCTACTGGGTCGCGGGGGGTCCGGAGCCTATCCCGGAAGCCAACCCTGGACAGGGGGCCAGCCCATCGCAGGGCACACTCACACACCATTCACTCACACATGCACACCTAAGGGCAATTTAGAACATGCAACATGAGAACATGCAAACTCCACACACATGTGACCCAGGTGGAGACTCGAACCCAGGTCCCAGAGGTGCGAGGCAACAGTGCTAACCACTGCACCACCATGCCGCCCCAGTATATTTCCATCCTAAATAAATCAGTACAACAGAGTTCAAACATTGAATACTGACATCTGATCAGACTCCTGACTGCTTCTCCCTGCTGGCCTTCAGGTGTGGAGACAGAAAGCTCAGTACCTGCAACACAAGCAGAACAAAGCAGAGGCTACAACAGTGAAGCGCAAGATCTCGGGCTCCGAAGGCAGCAAAGTCAAAGGTAATCATGAGCACTCAGGCCCAGAGACCCATCAACCATCAGCCAGCCTTTTAGGGGAATGTTGCTTATTTCACTAAATGGGGAAGTTCAAACCACAGGATAGAGATTAACAACATTTCTATAGGTGGAAAATTAGCTGTTTAATTGGCAACCCTCTACTACAGGTTTAGCATTTTTGACCCGAAGTCTACTTCCCTGACCTGTAGAAATGTCATAGAAATGTGTGACCATATGGTTTCAGAAAGAGAGCGCAGAGTAAGCGTGCCGTCCCCCATTCTCTGTCCCTTGTCCTCTTTCCCAGGCCCACTGAAGGGGACAGCAGGAGGAAGCGGAGGGGGATCTGTTGTTCTGTCCCCCAGTCGAACCTCCGTGGGGGTGTCCCTGTCTCCGGCACGTGTCCCAGAAGTGGACCCCATTGACGCTGCCGCTCACCTGCAGTTGCTGGGAGAGTCTCTCTCGCTCATTGGGCACCGGCTACAGGAGACAGAGGCTAGTATATGTCATGGAGGAGCAGAGCTTATGCGGGGGGGACAAGCAAGTTTGTCTGGTGATATTTTAGTCAAATTTGATGGCAAAACAGCACAAGAAACATGTTTAATGTCAAGTCTGGGGTCTTCCATCTGTTCTAAGTTTTTTCTTGCAGCAGTGATGTTGCCATAGAAACACTGGGAAGAGACTAAGCACATGTCCTCCCCCTCGGTGTCCCACAGGGCATGGTGGCCGTGTCGGGCAGCCTGTCCGTTTTGCTGGACTCCATCCTGTGTGCCCTGGGTCCCCTGACCTGTCTCACCGCCCAGGTCCCAGAACTGAACGGTTGTCCGCGGCGCGTGCTGGTGAGGTGTCCACCGTCTCTCTCTCACCATCTTTTTTCATTTTCCCATCTCCAGGTAGTTCTCAATTTACCCCACTTGCATAAATCTGGATTTAGGCAATAAATATCCAAGATACATCATTTATGAAGTACTAACACAAAAAAATGCAACATACACTGAAAATATGTCTAAACTTTATCTTTTCATTTGTGTAATGTGTTCTTTAGTATGCATTACTGGTAAATTGTTGGGTAATGTGTGTTTTGCTATTTTGTTCTGCTTGAATGGGGGGGTGAATCCGACATGCGTAAAATTTGACTTGCTTAAGGTTCTGTGGAACGGATTACTTGTATGAGGCAAGAACTGCCTGTATATCTAAATTTCTCCCTCCTTCACAAAGTAAAAGACTGACTTGCTCATACTTTCCTGTGAGAGTCCGAGCCTTTACTTCCTGTTTGTCTCTGTTGTCTTTCAGTCCAACACTCTGGACAACATTGCCTATGTGATGCCAGGACTGTGAGGACCATGGGGTATCCCCGATAGTGCCAGGCAGGAAGCGGTACCATGGCGACGGAGCGTGCCCACCTGACACCTCGAGAGAGGGGGGGGGGGGGGCGTGCAGCCACGGTCCAGCTTTGGATACGTGTGGACAGTTGTAGTTTTAAATTTGCTTTTAATCCCTTGTTTCTTTCTTTTAAATTTTTTTTTTTATTGCTGTTTTTTCCAATTAAACCTATTTTAGTGAATATTTTTAAATTCCCGTGAATAACATTTTTATTTGTTAAAGTGAGTGTGTGTCCTTATTGATTTCCTGTCATTGAAGACCAGCGACGCCAGCATAGTTCCTCAAGTGTAATATTGATACACAAGATGTGATACACAGTTACCCTTCAAATAATACATTATCATCTTGATAAGAGCCCTTGTCTGTGGCACATGTGATCATTATGAATGTGCTCACCCTACTTTTTTCACTCAGGTTTCCAATCTTTCGGTGTTGTAAACTAATTTTGTTTACATACAATGGACTTGGTTTTCTTTTGAAAACTTGGTATTGGTTCTCATCTCCCAGGTGTGGTTTCTCCATTTTACGCCAGGGGGCAGCCCTGAGTGAGACTTGGCTTTGGAGGGCAGCAACCTGAACCAAGATATTTTAGTCAAGCTTTTTGGATTCAGTTACTGTATGGAGCAGCAGTAGAAAGAATAAGTTAGAACATTAGCGTTTGAACAGGAATAATGTTCTAGTTACAGGCACATTTCATTTTTTAAAATATATTTTTAAAGTCATTACATCCTATTAGATTGACCTGATGCATAGATCCATGGAGGTCTGTTTGGTCAAATAGGGCTTATAGATTGTTATTTCTAAATGTTTTTGGTGTTCTTTCCAATCGTCACCGGGGCCGCCCCCCTGGAGCCAGGCCTGGGGGTGGGGCTCGATGGCGAGCGCCTGGTGGCCAGGCCTGCACCCATGGGGCCTAGTCGGGCACAGCCCGAAGAAGGCACGTGGCTCCCCCCTCCAATGGGCTCACCACCAGTAGGAGGGGCCATAGGGGTCGGGTGCAGTGTGCGTTGGGCAGTGGCCAAAGGCGGGGACCTTGGCGGTCTGATCCTCGGCTGCAGAAGCTCTAGGTACATGGAATGTCACCTCTCTGGTGGGGAAGGAGCCTGAGCTGGTGCGCGAGGTGGTGAAGTTCTGACACATGGCTTGGGCTCTGGAACCAATCTCCTCGAGGGGGATTGGACCCTGTTCCATTCTGGAGTTGCTCGCGGGGAAAGGCACCAGGCATGGGTGGGCATATTGCCCCCTGGCTGGGTGCCTGCACATTGGGGTTTACCGCAGTGGACGAGAGGGTAGCCTCCCTTCGCCTTCGGGTGTTTGCGCTTATGCACTGTGTGGCAGTTCAGAATACCCACCCTTTTTGGAGTCCTTGGAAGGGGTGTTGGAGAGCACTCCTCCTGGGGACTCTTGTTCTACTGGGGGACTTCAATGCCCACGTGGGCAATGACAGTGAGACCTGGAGTGGCGTGATTGGGAGGAACGGCCCCCCTGATCTGAACCCGAGCGTTCTTTTGTTATTGGATTTCTGTGCTCATCGTGGATTGTCCATAATGAACACCATGTTCAAGCATAAGGGTGTCCATACGTGCAATTGATCACTACCTGGTGGTGGGTTGGCTCCGCTGGTGGGGGAGGAAGCTGGGCAGGCCCAAGCATATAGTGAGGGTCTGCTGGGAACGTCTGGCAGAATCCCCCGTCAGGAGGAGCTTCAACTCCTACCTCTGGCAGAGCTTCTTCCATGTGCCGGGGGAGGCAGGGGACACAGTCTGAATGGGCCTTGTTTTGTGCCTCCATTGTGGAGGCGGCTGACCGCAGCTGTGGCCGTAAAGTGGTCGGTGCCTGTCGTGGCGGCAATCCCCGAACCCGCTGGTGGACACCAGTGGTGAGGGATGCCGTCAAGCTGAAGAAGGAGTCTTATTGGGCCTTTTTAGCCTGTGGGACTCCAGAGGCAGGTGACAGATACCGGCAGGCCAAGCAGAATGCGTCTTCAGCGGTCGCCGAGGCAAAAACTCGGGTGTGGGAGGAGTTTGGTGAGGCCATGGAAAACGACTTCCGGACGGCTTTGAGGAGATTCTGTTCCACCATCCGGCGTCACAGGGTGGGAAAGTGGTGCAACATCAACACTGTTTATGGTGGGGATGGGGCGCTGCTGACAACTCGGGATGTTTTGGGTCGATGGGGGGAATACTTCGAAGACCTGCTCAATCCCACCGATACGCCTTTCAGTGAGGAGGCAGAGTCTGGGGACTTGGGTGTGGACTCTCCTATCTCTGGGGTGGAGGTCGCTGAGGTGGTTAAAAAGCTCCTTGGTGGCCGAGCCCCGGGGGTGGATGAGATCCGCCCAGAGTTCCTTAAGGCTCTGAACGCTGTGGGGCTGTCTTGGTTAACGCATCTGTAGCATCGCGTGGACATCGGGGGCAGTGCCTCTGGACTGGCAGACCGGGGTGGTGGTCCCCCTCTTTAAGAAGGGGGACCAGAGGGTGTACTCCAACTATAGGGGGATCACACTCCTCAGCCTCCCTGGTAAGGTCTATTCGG